TAATAGTTTTTATTTAATAGTTTTTATTTAATAGTTTTTATTTAATAACTTTTAATAATTTTATTTAATAGTGTCATTATTTAAATAATTTATTTCAATTTCTTCAGTTTTAATATTAATTATAAATGTTGCATAGAGATAATTGTTAATGTTATTACTAATTTTTCTATGAAATACTAAGTGCCCTCTGGTAGTGAAATAACTTGACTGCATTATTGAATGCTGCTCTGGTAATGCTAGCTTCCTTCACAGAAAAATCTGGCCTGGTCTGCTTCTCTTACAAAATTACATATACAGAAACTACAGAAGTTAGACCGATCTACAGGAAGAAATGACAGAGTTTTGCAAACATTTTGCAAGCTCATGAGTAGACTGAGCCATTAAAAACATTTAAAGGAGAATGCCAATAAGGCACAAGGCAGGCTGGAGTGAGAGTAGTTTACTTAACCACTTGTTGGCCAGTCAGTCAGGAATACACCAGGCAACAATGAATTTCAACCAACTTCTAGGAACAGGTATGTTAAAATCCCTGTAGCCTTGTAGCTTTTCTTCCTGAACCTTTGGGAACACTGTAAAGTGGAATGTGAGAGTACTTGATGTTCTGCTCACTTGGAGAGCTCTTCCTCTGAGGATGTCAGAGAGGATATGATGACTAGGATTTGGGTTTTGATTCTTACTTGTTCCAGAACTTTAGATTTTTATAGTTTAGGTAGAATGGTGCCAATATGCCACTCCAAGCAAGTAAAAATATATAGGGTAACAACAATGAAATAGCATGAGATCCCTTTCAACATTTAAATTTGCTGTAATTATGTTTAAAACAATTCTTGTGTGATTTGTTTTTTGTCTTGCCTGTGTGACACACAAGAAGTCAAAAGCACCCAGCAGCATTATGTTTAAATAACTTTTTTAATACTTTAATGGAATCTATGTTGTATTAGAATTGAATCTATGTTGTATTAGAATTAAGATATTAAATTTACTTGACCTTTGAACAGAAAATAACAACACAGCTAATTGACTGTCTTGCTTTATCTAAATTATGTCAGCAGATGGCAATTTATTCAGTATCTTTGCACCAAGAAAGCTTATTTAGCTTAGTTGTTTCATTTCTACACTTTGCATTTCATGCATATTTAAAAATAGGAAAAAATATTTAATACTTCACTATGCTATCTAATTTGTTGACAGTATTTCCAAACATTAATAGAAGAAACCTGCATTTTGTGGCCATTATAGATCCTTAAATAGTCAGATTTGCTGATGTAGTTAGACTGTCAATACCGCTACGGCATAGGTGGCTTATCCTGGTGTATGCATGAGAACAGAAAACTGAGGCTTATAGAGACTGAGGGCATAATTCCTGAAACCCTAGCTAGCTTCTACTGCTTTGGTTATTTTAGGAACCAGAACTTGTCATTAAATAGTACAAAAAATAGCAGAACAGTGTTGAAACTTGGGGCTAAAATTAGAGGTCACTATTCTACCCCAGGACTATTCTTGTTAAAGTTCAATATTTCTCCACTGTAAGGGCATCTACTAAATTCACCTAATTGCTTATAAAAAAGTCATTATTTCTTAAACTTAAGATGCTGACAAACCTGTGGTCCTCATCTACTTAATTCTTAGGAATTATTTTGGTCTGTAGTGAATATGGTAAACTAACAACTAACAATGGCTTAATTTCTTCCTTTTGACAGTGTTTGTGGTCTGTTACAACATTTTTTCCTCTGAAAGATCAACATTTTGAGAAAGTTCTGGTGACATTTCCTAGGCAATTCCTAATTCCAATTAAAGTTTTCATTTTAAGAACCAAAAGTAATATTCCCCCCCCTTAAAAGTGTGTGCATTGATGTTATGTGGGCTTTCAGAGATGTGTACATATGTAGAGCTCTTAGTCTGAGTTGTGTGCTATTAGGTTATTCTTTGTTTTTAAACAGGAGATCCTGAGAAGGAGCTTAATCCCAAGAAGAAGATTTGGGAGCAAATCCAACCCGATCTTCATACCAATGACCAGTGTGTTGCTACATACAAAGGAGTTCCGTTTGAAGTGAAAGGGAAAGGAGTCTGCAGGGCAGAGACCATGGCAAACAGCGGAATTAAATAAATAAATGGTTTTTAGAAACTTTTTCAGTTGTTGAAATGGAAAGTGATGCAAGCACAATAAAAAATATGAAGTGCATGGCTAAGACCTTTTTTGTTTGACTCCTTTTCCAGAGATCTAGAATGTATTATTCCTCCAACATTTTGACCATTGACTTATTTACCATGTTTACTGTCCTTGAGGTTATGTGTTGTCAACAGTTATTAACCACTCAGTGCTCATAACTTAATTGCCAAGGCTTGTTCATGGTAGGACTGCAAACAGACAAGTATATTTTCTGGACAGCTTAAAGGTGCAGAAGATCTATGGAGCAAGAGCATCTCATTAGGGAAAAATTTCTGCCATGTTCCTTGTGTGCTAATTGCAGTACTGGCAATAGGTTAGTGAAGACCACAATTGTCCTTATTCTTCTAGTCACCTTGTAATAGTTTTTCTCCTTTTCTTCCAAGCAGTTTTCATATACATTATAAGCCTTTGCACCTTCATTCTTGCCTGTGTTATCACCATAGTCTGCAGACACTTGTAACAGGAAGATTAAACCATGGTGCTTCATGCCCTAAGATTTGCAAGTGGACATACTTTCATGTCCCTCAGCTAAACTGTTACAATTTCATTAAGATCAAAGCTGCTGATTTGCTAAAATGGTTCTTTATCTAGTCCATCTGGGTATTTCATCCCAAATGATAGGTAGAACTAAGAAATAAAGAATCACAAATAGGTTACTGTAACTATTCCAATACTAAAAAAAAAAAAAAAATCCATTTCCAGTGCCCATACAGGTATAAAATTAATTGTTTTGTTTTGTTTTAATGTGGTTTTTATGCAATGATACTTTATAGAAAAGATGCTTTGGTTTTAACAGAAAGAGCTTCTTCAGTTTTTACAATTAGAATTATTCCATAGTCTTCGTGAACGAAGATTTGGAAAGGGCTCTACCCACATTTGTTACAAGCACGCTGGTGGCTAAAAAGGCCAATACGAGATAGACATGTCCGGTTGCAAAAGACACAGCAGAAAGACTCCTTAGGTGGTATATTCTGCAAGGAACGATTCTTTCTGCGTTGTCTTTTCTCCTCAAGAGTGATCCTGCGTGCTTTCTCAAAAGCATCAGCAGCGATAAAGATGGTGTGTCTCTAGACCTCCCGATTGGAGGCCAGAGTAGACCAGTTATGTTGATCAATATGGCCAAGGCTGAGATGTTGTTTCAGGGAGTCCTTGTATCTTCTCTTCGGGGCTCCTCTCATGCGGCAGCCAGTGGCAAGTTCACCATAAAGCAGGATCTTAGGGAGGCGGTGGTCCTTCATCCTTGAGATGTGTCCTGCCCAATGCAGCTGTGTTCTCAGCAACATGGCCTCAATACTTGTGATTGCTGCTTGTTCTATGTATTCCATAGTAATGGTGTACAAATAGTCATGTTGCTAGGGTAATAGCCTCAAATTACTTCTTTTGATTCCTAACTTTTAAAAATACGAAAATAAACATTTTGGGTCAATTTACAATAACCCTTTTAAGTAGCTATTTAGAGATATTTCAGATATTTTGGCATATGATTTTTAATCAAACGGTTACTGTCTAACCATTGAACCAGTAAGTGCTATTTAACTACTGAAATAAAAAAATATTAACGTCTAAATTTTTCAGGCTTTGAACTTCATCCAATAAATGGAGAGAAAACAAAATGACAATGATATAAAATTAAAAGGAACATGTGTAAAAGAGAAGATGAACAGATTTCCTTTTCAAATGAGTTTTGTATGTGCCTGTAAACTTCGTTTTTCATGCATCTGGGAATAAGCAATAGTAATTAGTTCTTTTAAATGTGCTGAATAGCATTAAGCACATGGAAGCCGTTTTATCTGCCTTGTAAACTACATATCCAATAATGGCTTATTAAACAAAATCCTTGAAGTTCAAAAACTCAGTTATAACTAATCTTGAATCATGGTAAGGAAATACTTTTACAGGAGATAAATCTTAGCTTTTCATACCAGAGAGCTCTTTATAGAGATAGAAGTTCAGAGGAAAATCTGGAATTCAGAGGAACTCTTGAAAGCTTGAAGAATAGCAAAAGAGGCTCCCTTACAGTCTAAACTCATGTTCATTTTGTAGTTTTGTTTTGGGATTTTTTTATCATCTTCCAGATGTATATTCTATTTGAGCTGGAATATACAGTCTGATGTAGTACAAAATCTCATTTGTGACTACATACATATTAAGGGTGTGATTTTAGAGCACTAACTTTTTCTGATTTTGTGGTTGAAGCTAGGATTCTGGATGCGGCAGTGTAAGGTATTATATGAAAGGCAATTAGTTTGGTAATTTAAAGAGATATTTCTAATTGTATGTTCAAAGGTATTTGGTGTGGATGTGGAGTTTTCCAGCTGATGGCTTCTACTTTTTTATTTCTATTAAATGTTACCTACCATAGAAAATAGACAAATGAGCACCTGAAAGCTTATTTTATTCCTTGCTGGTTTTAAGTAAAAGCACTTGATAATTATTTTGTCTTATAAAATTCAAGAGCTTTCTTAAGACAATGGTTCTTTCCTCTTTAATTATGCTCTTCTGGTTGTCTAGGAAGATGTATTTATGCTGTACTGAGCTCAAAAGTGACAACAGAGTGCTTGAGGCACTGTGCAAGTATGTTTCTTCACTGCATCCAGCTTCTTCTGCCTTGTCTGCATGAGTAAGTAAAACTGCAGTGAAATCCTTCCATGTGGGACCCAGAAGTTCCTGTAATGAAAACCAAATCTTAAATGGTTATCTCTTCTTGTTCCTTTTCCCCACTCCCATTTCATATACTTAGTACATTAGCAGACTGTTACATGGTTTTGGTTTTTTGTTTTTTTTTTTTTTTTCCTGGCAGTAATCCAGTTCGTGCTATCTGAGTTGCTGAAATATCTGGGGTTTTTTCACCATTCCAAGACATTGACATTCACTTTCTGTGGAAATATGTGGTCATGCAGTACTAGCAGTTCTCTCTTCTCTAAGTACAGATGTTAATAGAATTTCTCCAGTTATAAAATGTTCACGTAAATAAGGAAAAATGGTTTTTTAGCTGTGTCACACATTAGTTTTAAATCGGTCGTTGCCACATATCCATATTTCTGTAAGTTTTACAGCTCTTCGAAAAATTTTTTATAAAATCACCAAATCACCTTTTGTTGAAAAAATAAATGATGAATTTCTATGTAACACCAACTGCAGTTCTAGCTGTGACCCAGCAATTCAGGAAAAACACAAATCAAATGCATCAACTTAAATAATGGGCAAGAGAGTTTGTCTAGTTTGTCTTCAACTTTGGTGGTTTATCTGATGGAGGCGAAGGGAGAGAACAAGCTGCTTTTCTTTCAATGAGTACAGAAAATTTTAATATGAATAAAAGATTGGGCTTTAATTTACAGATGTAAATGAAATTACAACTTCAGTGTGATCATGTTATCTCCTGTGTGATGAGAAGCCTAATTTGGTAATAAAGTCCACTTTGCAATTATCTTAATTAACTGTAACCTAAATACCAAGGTATATAAAACTGCTCTAAAGGATATCTTTCTACTTCCAAGATAGGCGGGGAGTTCAAAAGCCTGGTGTTTTGATAAATTAATCTGTTTTAGACATTGAAGATGAAAAATATTACACACATCTACAAAATTGTGCCATAGGCTGCTTAAGGAAGTCTTGGATTATCAGTTTCAGAAAGAGAGGATAGTGCTTTGATTTGCTGAGGACTCAAAGTCAATTATAATGTTTGTTCTGAAATTAGTATCTACCACTTTCAATTCATTAGGCTGTTATTGGGAAAAAAAATTCCAGGCAAGTTTAAATTCTAGTAGTCTTTTGCTGATATGCTGCCTTCATTCGTATGCCACCCCTAATTTGCAGAGAATCATGGTAAAAGCTCCTGATTGCTAAAGGTGGCCTTCATGCTTGTGTCTCCATCAAATGGCACACTGAAAGAAGACTGTTAATGTTCATATTCCCAGCACCCAGGCAGCTTTCCTGCCCTTTGTTTCTGTGGTTGATGAAATCACAGCAGTTATTGCAGGAACCAACCACTGTAGAAGCTCAGTCTGTTTTGATCATGAAACAGAAGTGTTGCATGTGTGCACACCTGCAGTACTATCATCTTTTGGTGTTACAGAGATGCAGTGGCTTGGCTCCTATGAGTGGAGCTTTGGAATGAAAGACTACAGGCTCTTTAGGAAGGACAGGCATAGAGGAGATGAAGATGGGGTCGGTGACCAGCTGGAGTGCTCGGAGCTCTACCTGAGGATGGTTGAGGAGCCAACTGAGAGCTCATGGGTCAGGATTAAAGAGAGTACAGTGTTAGGTGACGTTATAGTGGGGGTCTACTACAAGCTACCTGACTGGGAACGCTGAGCAGATGAGGTCCTCTGTAGACAGAGAGGAGCAGTCCCTGTTCACAAGCCCTGGTCCTCACAGAGGACTTCAACCTCTCCACTATCTGTTGGAGGGACAACACAGCAGAGCATTCCAGGAGGTTCCTGGAATGCATTAATGGTTACTTCCTTCTCCAAGTGATAGAGGAGCCAATGAGATGAGGACATAGTTATGCTGGACATTGTTTTCACCAACAAGGAAAACTCATAAAGTTCAACAAGGGTCCTGCACATGGGGCAGGGCAAACCCAAGCAGAAATACAGGCTGGGTGGAGAATGGATTGAGAACAGCCCTGAGGAGGATGTGAGGGTTTTGGTGGGTGAGAAGTTTGACATGACCCAGCAATGTGCACTTACCTCCAGTGCCTAAAGAAGGCCTAGAGGAAAGAAGAATATGTTGAAATTTGAACCAACTGTCAAACTACTGAAAAAGTGAGTAGCCTACCATAGAGAGGAAAGCAAATCAAACACATTTTGAAAGCTGTATTTTCATTTATATATTTACTTACCAGTGTGTTTTTATCAGTTACAGCAGATGCAAAAGACCTGATGGACTGAGAAGTCCCTTCTGGTTATAGATTTTTAGAAAATTCATTAGTATAAGACAGATGCAAGGTGTAATGTGCAGATTTTGGCAATAACTGAAACCCTTTTTTTCTTAGTAAGTCATATGAACCTGGTTCATTTGATCAGATCGGCAAATTAATATCTGCTGGCCTTTTTTTTCTCTTCAAAGATATCTATGCATGTGTCTCCCTACATACCTTAACTACTTGTAAAAAAAAAATATTTGTTTCAAGTCAGTTATGTTATTAATTTTCTTTAGCCTGAGTAAATTTATGGTAGCTTCCTAGTTGTTTTCTCTTAAATAGATACATTAGTAATAGTGCAGGACTGAGCTGATCATCCTTGTCCCAGGTCAGATTTTCTGTATAATTTTGGACCCACTGCGCTCTGCTCTGGTGCTTTGGAGAGTGCAGTAACTGACTTTTGCTGGCTTTAAACAACATTTCTCTTTAGCAAGCTAGATCTGTCATGATAAAGCATGAACTGTAATTCTGAGAGAACAGCTTACTTTGATAGGTAAAATTTGGTTCCTAAATTCCTTTGTGCCAAGCCCACTTACAAAAGAGAGCAGTTCTTGCCTCTCTTTTCTCAGGTTTACTGCAGTAAGTGTAGCTATGGTGTTGGAGTTGGGAATGGTGTGTTTCAGCTGCTGCACTGTGAAGTGTTCCAGTTTTCATCTGCACTTCTTTATTTTACCTTTGCAGTCAACTCTTTCATAGCTATTATCCCCTGAAGATAAAACCATTAGGGCAGAGACTTCTTTTTGTTTTCTTTACCTGGATGAACTGAACTGCATCATTACTCTCATCCGGACACAGAGGCAAGTCAGCCCGCAGGACCAAGAGAGCCAGGTGCAGGCCTTCCTCCCCGAAGTGTTGAGCCAGGGCTGATCCCACCATGTCTCTCACCTGCTCCTTGCTCAGAGCACTGTGAGGGTAGCTTGGAGTGTCAAGTACTCGAACACGGAGAGCCAGCTCGCAGCCATTTCTTCGCATAATCCCCAAAATGCGGCAGCTGCGTCCAAGGCTACAGCATGTAGTCACAGAGCTTGGGGAGCCACGGCTCTCAAAGTCTGAGCTGCCCAGCAGGCTGTTCCCAGCAGCACTCTTGCCAGTCTGAGTTTTTCCAAGGACAACAAGGTTGATTGTCATCTCATTGGTGTCTGCCATTGTCTATGCTTTCTTTTATCCACAAACCTGTCACTAAGTGAAGTACAAAAAAGGTGTTTCAGATAACTTAAAAAAAACCCCAAACGAACAAACAAACAACTCCCACAAAAATTTCAAAATTCATTGTCTTTTGAGTGTTATTCTCTGCCTGAAATATTTTCAGGATTGTGGTGTAGAATAACATTTAGTACAGGACATACACCTCTGTCTGATCAAAGGATGGATCTTCGCTGTCTTTCCCAGACTGCTGCTGAGAAATAACAAGACCTTGTGAAAGGTGTCACAGATAGAAAAGCAACCTAACAGGCTTCACTCCTACACTGACAGAAACTGAAGAGCTAGGAAAGAATCTGATGTGAGAAGAGATTTAGGAACAAGCAAAGCAGACAGAGCTACGGAGAGGCAACAGAGAAGGGAGGGATTGGGAAACAACTGTGGAAAAGAGTGTTGCCATGCAGAGAGAGTAATAGGTTAGGAAAAGGAGGAAAACTAGGGGAGGAAGAAGAGAATGGTAACAAATAGGTGCTGCTGTTATTAAGTGACTACATTTCAGGATGTCAATATTTACTTGTTTTGGGAAAAAAAATGGATAATCAGGGAGAAGTAGAGTTTAAAGAAGCACTTATTCAAAGCGGAGAACAGCTTTCATGAGAATATGTCTTTCATCAGCTACCACTGAAGTTGAAATAGACTAATCTGAAAGGGCTTTCTGATGTGGATAAATATAAGTTTGTCACTAAAAAAAGAAAAGAGCTGAAATAGCCAATGCTGCAGCTTCTAATCCCATATGAAAATGAGATTTTGAAAGTGTATCCTACATAGACTTAATAACACAGTGGAAAATAAAAGCATAGACTGGTGGATGAAGAGTTGGCTGGGTATAATTTCCAGTTACTGTAATTGTTCATAAATAAGACCTCTCATTCTCTTTGTACTTTTCTGTAATCCAGTATCTGAAGGGGGTTTGGTGCCTATTGATCGACTAACAGGAATAGTGACTATTTAAGTAAATTCAGACATGTTTCAAAAGGTAAAACCATAGTGGCAGTTGGTAGTTCATTTTAAGTTTTCAGTGACATCCAAACTTCAGAAAGAATTTTTTAATTAAGATTCTATGTTTAGGTGTTCATAGAGAAATCACGGATAATTTTAGACTGGGATTTCCTGTGATTAATTAATTTAGATTCTTGCTGTGCAATTTAAGCTTTCTCCCTCAAATTAAAGCCATGCCTAAATCAAACTTTTGAAATAAGTTCAGTACAATGCCAAACGTGCAAGAGCTAGTAATATGCTAATTTTGTTACAGGCAACATTGAATACTGTACATGATAATCTTCCTTACTGAATTCACAGTGCGATTTTTGTGGATTTTTCAATGATCAATTTCCTTTTAAAAAGGACACCTTATGAAATGGTTATCTTTAGTTATTAATCAGTTTAAATGTGCATTGTATACTTTGTCTGTAGCATAATAATATGACTTGGTGGACATGCATTTGTGCATTCCTTTTTTAAATCGCAATCAAATATTTGTTCTTTTTTCCTGTAAGCAGCCTACCTTTAAATACTTAATTTTTTGTATTGTGTCACTTACCTTATTTTCACTTAAATTCTTCTTGCAATCAGACTTCATTCATAAAGCACATGTGCAGTGTAAAAAGAAGTCCATATATGAACTTTGAAACTAACAGCAGCAATGTACCATGCTGCGACTGTTACGTACACATGAATCTGGTTAATCTATTACTAATAGATCCTCATTCAATTGGATATATTTGGTCAGTAATTGGCACTGTTGAATTTTTGCAACTTAGCTACAGATACCGTTTTTCCAGTTACTTTAATGATTGTATGATGATATTTTTGAAAGTTGCTTGAATTCCACCAGCATTTAAATGTGCAAGTGATAATGGAGGTGGTGGAATTACTTTATATTGCATGTTCTGAATGTGAAGAGTATATGCACTCTCTCTTATTATTGCAATGAATTAATAATAGCAATATTTTCATAGCACAAGGTAAATAATTTGCAGACATAAAGATGTTTGCCTAACAAAGATGGATTAAAATAATAAAAAATTTTTTAAGATACAGAAATTATTTGTGAATGAGGAAGAAAACTGAAGGCTTGCGCAACTGCCAGTCATGTGCATTAGCTGTTGGCTGGATGGCCTAATAAATTCCTCTTGCAAGTATTGTTATTTGCCATGCTGTATTTGCCAGAGATAAAAAGATTGTCCAGAAAGGACCTATCACTTGCTTTTTAGACAATATCCTACAAGTGGGTAAATAGCTGGTAAGAAAATAAATACAAATTTGTGCTTTAATGACCAGGTTCTAGTCAGAGAATGGAAGAGTGGATGAGCCCTTCCTGTCTGTTCACAAGGATAAGCCATCTCTCTGACTGTAAATGCCGGGGGAGTGGAGGCACATGTTTACTCCAAGGGTATTAAGATATGTGTCATTACAGTGAGAACATGAATCTGGTATGTAGGTTGTCTGTGGTGGGAGTAAAAGAAGATCATGCTTCCCAGAGCCCAATGCTGCTGGGGACATTGTGATCCAAAGTGTAGCTCTGTGTGGGAGCCTGTAAGTACTAGTGCTGTTCCTGCCTGCTACAGCAGTGAAGTGAGACTTCAATTCCTCTAGAAGCCTGTTGTGTTCTGCTATGGAGCCACAGGCACAAGTAGTGCTTTGACAGAAGGTAGGAGCTAATGGTATCATCACAGCCTCCTCATGTAAATTCACATCATTCGTCATGAATGAGTTCATCATTAGTGTTACTTGGCTATAGATGGCTGTGTAAAATTTTTTTTGCTGTATGTTTTTAAGAGCATGTAGACAAGTTGCTTTCAGACAGCACTCTGATCTTGTGCCTGCCTATTCTGGTGATAGGTCAGACATTAAATCTTTTCTTGTATTGTAAGTGTACCTGAGGCAACTACTGATAGTTTCCACTGTGAAAAACCTTACAGCTCTATGCTGTGCACAGCCTTTTTGTCTTAAGGCACATTTATATATGAAGTGTATGGCTAGTGAATACAAACTCAAGACTGGATGAGGGGAGACTCAATAGTGAAGCAAAAGGGTAGATCGGTCTCATAAAACTGGATATTGTGAGATAAAATCCACATGCTTCCTTTTATTTGCCTATAAGTCTAGACTTTGGTTAAATTGTCGGTCTAGCTCTGTACTTTTTATTGGACTGTTCCTATGCACAATTTTAGGGATAGGTGCAATTTCAGAAGAATTTGTAACAGAAAGTTAGAACTCTATTTCACTTAGGAAGACTGTAAAATGCCTTCTCAAATGGGCTAGATGGGTGTTTTTTCCTTCTTTCAAAGAAAGTTGCAGGGAGAAGCTGTGAGCAAGCTATCTCCCTGGTATGCAGAGAGATAACATGTTTGCACGCATGTACAGGGCCTCCTCAGGCCAGAGAGAATGGGGGAGGAGAGAGAGAAGATACAAAAAGCATTGGAGAAGGCGGGGCATTGCTTTTTTCCGCTGGGGGCCCGGTGTGTGCAACATCCTTAAGTGGTCCTTGCATCTAAAATAAGCCTTTTTAAAATCCTTCCAGTACCTTGGCGTTCTTGGGAAGAATACCTTACAACAATAATATCCGTCATGACATCTGAAGTGGTATATGTCCTAGCAGTCACATTCAACTGAGCTAGTAGACTGCCAAGGAGATAATTTAAGTTGGTGTGGACAAGGATTTAGACTACCAAGAAAGCTAGAATCCCAGAAGCAGAGGAGTGTTGTATACAAAATACAGCTTGCCCAGCTGGATGCAGAACTGGGGTTTTATGACGGTTAGATGGCTGTAAAATCAGGAGTAGTGTAAATGAGGCACTACTTAAATGAGACCTAAAACTTGACTAAACAAACTTCACCACAAAAAAAAAAGGGCATTTCTTTCCAGTGTTATTATGTGTGTAATACAGTCCGAGTTGGAACGCATCTGGAAGGTCTTACAAGAGCACAGGCAGAGGATTTTAAAAAGTTGTCTTCCTGGGAGGATATGACAGGGAAAAAAATCACACTGATTTATATGGTACTTGCATAAGCTCCTCAAATGTGGAAAAAGTCCTCCCCAAGGTGGCAGTATCAGCCTGCTCCACAGGTACTGTAAAACTCAGCCGGGGTCCCGTTGCTCTGCAGCCCTATGCCGAAATAAAATACCAGGTCAGAAAAGAGCTATGACGTTAAAAAATACAGAATAATAACAGGACTTTTCAAACATCTTCTGAAATAAGAAATTTTAAAAACATTTGTCTCACTTTTGTCAAAAGAAATATTTTTATTTTACCTAAAAAATGCAGACACCTTAATTAATGAATTTGAACAGCAGTAATGGAAAGGTAGCAGTTAAGAAACAAAGTGTTATTTACTGTTCCTTACATGATTCTTGTAAATCAAGACCTTTTGTTTTCTCTAACTTTTAAGTTGAGCTAGTGACAATTATTATGGGGCTTTAGATATGAGATCTTAAAATCTACTTATTGTCAGAATATGAATTTGCAAAGAACAAGTACAGAGCACAATAAAATTCCCTTGGATGCTTTTTAGCACTGGTTGCTGCCAGTGGGTAAGCTATTTTTTTGTTTGCTTTGTTTTTATATTACTTTATTTTTGAAATGGCAAAGAGAAAACCAAGACTGAGCCTATTATGGATTGGCAGACAGGAAGGACTCTTGTAACTGATAAAGGAAGCCTTATACTCTTCCCATGGAAATACCAAGCAGATCTAGAGAGGAATTGTCAAGAATCTGAGGAAGTAAGGTCCCTAATCTAATTGAAAATAAGCATCATTTGTGTATCCAGCGTCTTTATTTGTCTTCAAAAAAACAAGGCTAAAATCATTTGCGAGTAACCATTAGTTTTGTATCTGTCTACAGAATTAACTAGAGTTGCAATGCACTTTAGATGCAGTATTGTGTCAGCTGCTGTTCTATTGTAGTCCCTGTGATCGCCCAGTTGGTTTGCACACACCCTAAACAAGCTCTCCATGATGCTTGTTAGGGTACACCAAGCAGGCTAGATCTTGTAAAACTGAAATAGCAGAGTTTCTCTTTAGGCACATGGTATCTCTTACCATGTGTCATCTTTTAGTTCCCACGCCTTCCCATCCCTTACAGCTTCTTTCCTGATGTGGGCTCTCATTTTAGCCCAAGATGATGCCATAATAAGTAATTTAAGATGTGCTTTGATGAATTTCTCTTACTTAGAGAAAACCCAGTGAGGCCATTTTATGGATTGCCACACACAGAGGCAGGCTGTTAGCTTGCCCAAACAACATGAGAAATCCAGGAAGGTATGCAGTCCGTGTAATCAGTGTGGCTTCAGTTCTGTTAGATGTGTAATTTCTAAGAAACAGCAGGCACGTCACTGTTTAGAGAGAAATAAGACAGATCTAGCGATGTTCTACGCCTTTTGGACTGCATTCACACCAAAGCCTTCTGTGCTGATTCTAAAGGATGACACATGTAAAGTATACTAAAGTTTCCTTAAAACAGATTATTTTTTTTAGCTTTACTTAATGCAGTCCTCAGTATCCGTAGTAATTTTGAACATACGTAATCAATTATCAGCAGTCTGCAAGATTATGTTTCTTTTTGCAGTATAGGTGGCTGTGTAGGTTATATGCTACTACATTGGCATTGCTAAGGGGAAAGGAGGTGGGGTGTAGCTGCAGACTAAGTTTGCAATTGCACCAGCTTTTGGCCAATGTCTGTTTGTACAACTGTGGAATCAGCCCCTCAGGTTCCTACTGTACTTCTTACAGCAGATTATGGGTTCAGGGCAAATACTGCTGCAGAAAGGCAGATCAAGGACCCACTTTGTATTTGAGAGGAAATCGAAGAGAACTATCTGAACAGTGAGAATATCAGTCACTTTTTTTCCTCTCTATTCTCCAAAGGAATCACCAAGAGCCACAAGATATCCTTGTCCTTCATCCTCTGCAAATAATAGGCAACCTCAGGTTAGAAAGCAGTATCTTTGACATTCTGATCTAGTAGGTCTCTGCTATGGAAGTAGTATGTGTCTTCAGTTGGCAGGAGTGATATTCTTCTAAGCACTCTGCTTGTCTGTGCACTTAGAACAGTGTTGTAGCAAGCCAGAGGAACACAGTCTCTTCTTGTTTCCAGTTAGTATGGTTTGGTGTGACATGGCTTTCCAAAATGCTGGGGGATGCATTGTAAAGTAGGGTATATCACTTTCTGTTGCAGGCTACCAGTTTCTTAAATCTCCTACTAGTCCCCTTCTCCAGTTTAACTGATGACTTTCCCCATGGCACCGTATCAATTTTTTTTTTAATATGCAAGGAATGTTTTTAACATACCATATTGTGCTATGTTGTCTCTTGAGCAGATTACTGAGAGATATTTAAACTACCTTGTTTTCACCCATGCTGTCATGATATGTTTTCTCTAGTATAAAGTTGGATGTAAGTCAGAAGTGTACAGGTCTGGCTATAGGGCTGTGCTGTGAGGCTGACATGTTTGTGTCTGTTCGCTGCTTCATGTGAAATACGCAAAATATCCCAAGAAATAAAGATGATATTGCAAGTAAGATTACAGGTATGTAAATAATATTTTTAAAACAACAACAAAAAATCAGAAACTGTTGATTTCAAAGGCATATATTAGGGAAAGAAACAATAATCAGAAAGGATGAAAATACAGACTTAAGGAAGAATCCTTTTTCCCTTACACATAGTTAGATGAACTCTGTGACTGGCCTCATACATCTTCTGTTGAGACAACCTGAGTCATATTCATTCACTTTCTTGTGCTTAGCCTCCAAATTTGTCCATGTGTGTAAAAACATTTTGCCCCTGGGACAAAAGTCCTGTGAACGGCGAACATATTTGGAAGCTCAGGAAACCCAGTCTTGGCTGCTATTTCTGTAACACTCATTCCCTAATTCTGAGAAGCTGCACAGTTTCTCAGTTTCCTCATCTAAATAATACAGGGAGTATTCAACTCTTTTGAAGATGTGTAGTGGGAGTGATTTAGCTGAAGGGAATGGATTTCTCTACAGCAATAACAGCATTGCTTGCATTTAAAAGAAAAAAATGTATTTTTATCATATTGTACAATGCTCTGTAGGGACCCAAATGACTTAAGACATACTTTCCAAAAGTATTCCCGTGATGCCTGGAAAGGGTATAACCATTGTAACACTAGTAAGCACAGAAGTTGCACTGATGCACAAAGTTGAACTGGTCATACTGCTACTCTTATGCATTCTAATCCTTAAGAGATATGTCATAGAAAGTCAGGAATACAGAGCTTTTAAAGTTTAAACTCAAGGATGTGTAAAAATGATATATCTCTACTCAATAACATGAATATCTGTCTGTATTCAGGACAGATTTATTACTCAGTTCCTTCATTTTCTTATTTTCCAGGTTTTCCAGGCTGTTTGTATTTCTATGGATACAACATATGTTGAGGACTTCTCTTAAAATACCCCAACTTAATATTTTTTATATTTAATTCCTATTAGGAATCTCTCCTGACTTCTCTATGTATACCTACACTTTAGAGACAATATGCTCAATTTCAAAGAGCATTTTTTAGAGAAATACAAGTTTAAGGAGCTGGACTACTGCTTAGAAATACTACACTTCTTGGTTTTATTAATCATG